AAGAGGTGTTGCAAGAATGATCTATAAAAAAATCTTGATGACCGATATGCATAGAGTCCATTATAATGGACACAGAACAAAAGCAATATTTTGAGTGTCTTACAAAAAAAATAATTATTCGAATTACCTTATAGGTTCATAAACACATGCATATAATGAGATCTTGAGGGATAGGAAATTCTGAAATTCATTATACTCCGTTATAATAAATACTTACCCTCCTTGTCGGGTGCAATACAAATTGTTATCCATTTGATCACGTGCAGAATATTTTTCGAGATACAAATTCATGAAATAGAAGCGAAAGCTGTTTGTTGTTTAACTACACTTATAGTTCTGGCGCATGAAACATTCAATTCCTGCATGATTGACGTCACAAAAAATTAGACAAGGAGCGTCCATTATAAGACACAATATGCACTAATGGGTTAACATGAATTGCTATTTTTGAAAATTTGAACGAAAAGTCTTGGACCAAATCTGATTCCTGATTCGTTTTTAACATGTCAAAATTAGTGCCTTTGGAGTTTTTCAGATGTGTAGGACTCTCGGGAAGAAAAAATATTTTTCGACCTGAACTACCCCTAACAACACGAGTACATCCTAGGGACTTCCCAGGGACGTCCCTAATTTCGAATAAGGACATCCCAGGGATATCTTTTCTGGGACAAAGTACATACTAGGGACGTCCCAGGGACATCCGCTTTCAGACAAAAAGGACATCCAAGGGATGTCCCTCCTGGTACGTCCCTGGGATGTACCGAGTACAAAGAAGGGATATCCCTAGGACGTCCCAAGGATATCCCAGGGACATCCCTTCGACAAAAGAAAAAAAAAGTAGGTCTACTTGGGATTGAACCCGGGACCTTCAGCTTATCAGGCACGCACCTTACTCCATTGGCCAATATGCCTTCTGAAGATTCATGTATTGAACAGATTTATAAACAGGACAACTACAGAAACCTGGATAAATAAAACTGTTAGGATTCGGGTATAATTATTATCATTCTTGGGTGTTTGAAAATGAGGGGCATTATGCATTTACGATCTCTGTTTGCGAAAAATGGTCATTTCTTGAGAAGTTTTGAGACAATATTCTTTATTTTCATCACAATTATTTCCCGGAAGAAATACATTTTCGAAAAAATTCGGCTCAATATTTTGATGATATTGAATGACTCTCTGATGTGAAGAATGGATATCAGATATTCCAGGGACACGAATGGGATAACCTAGGGATGTACCGGGTGGGATGTCCACTGGACAACTACTGGCGGGACATCCCCTGGATGTCCCAATCATTTCCTTGTACCGCGGGACATAAAAGGGACGCACCTAGGACATCCCTGTGTTGTTAGGGACCCTATATTAACATGAATTGCTATTTTTGAAAATTTGAACGAAAAGTCTTGGACCAAATCTGATTCCTGATTCGTTTTTAACATGTCAAAATTAGTGCCTTTGGAGTTTTTCAGATGTGTAGGACTCTCGGGAAGAAAAAATATTTTTCGACCTGAACTACCCTATATTAACATGAATTGCTATTTTTGAAAATTTGAACGAAAAGTCTTGGACCAAATCTGATTCCTGATTCGTTTTTAACATGTCAAAATTAGTGCCTTTGGAGTTTTTCAGATGTGTAGGACTCTCGGGAAGAAAAAATATTTTTCGACCTGAACTACCCTATATTAACATGAATTGCTATTTTTGAAAATTTGAACGAAAAGTCTTGGACCAAATCTGATTCCTGATTCGTTTTTAACATGTCAAAATTAGTGCCTTTGGAGTTTTTCAGATGTGTAGGACTCTCGGGAAGAAAAAATATTTTTCGACCTGAACTACCCTATATTAACATGAATTGCTATTTTTGAAAATTTGAACGAAAAGTCTTGGACCAAATCTGATTCCTGATTCGTTTTTAACATGTCAAAATTAGTGCCTTTGGAGTTTTTCAGATGTGTAGGACTCTCGGGAAGAAAAAATATTTTTCGACCTGAACTACCCTATATTAACATGAATTGCTATTTTTGAAAATTTGAACGAAAAGTCTTGGACCAAATCTGATTCCTGATTCGTTTTTAACATGTCAAAATTAGTGCCTTTGGAGTTTTTCAGATGTGTAGGACTCTCGGGAAGAAAAAATATTTTTCGACCTGAACTACCCTATATTAACATGAATTGCTATTTTTGAAAATTTGAACGAAAAGTCTTGGACCAAATCTGATTCCTGATTCGTTTTTAACATGTCAAAATTAGTGCCTTTGGAGTTTTTCAGATGTGTAGGACTCTCGGGAAGAAAAAATATTTTTCGACCTGAACTACCCTATATTAACATGAATTGCTATTTTTGAAAATTTGAACGAAAAGTCTTGGACCAAATCTGATTCCTGATTCGTTTTTAACATGTCAAAATTAGTGCCTTTGGAGTTTTTCAGATGTGTAGGACTCTCGGGAAGAAAAAATATTTTTCGACCTGAACTACCCTATATTAACATGAATTGCTATTTTTGAAAATTTGAACGAAAAGTCTTGGACCAAATCTGATTCCTGATTCGTTTTTAACATGTCAAAATTAGTGCCTTTGGAGTTTTTCAGATGTGTAGGACTCTCGGGAAGAAAAAATATTTTTCGACCTGAACTACCCTATATTAACATGAATTGCTATTTTTGAAAATTTGAACGAAAAGTCTTGGACCAAATCTGATTCCTGATTCGTTTTTAACATGTCAAAATTAGTGCCTTTGGAGTTTTTCAGATGTGTAGGACTCTCGGGAAGAAAAAATATTTTTCGACCTGAACTACCCTATATTAACATGAATTGCTATTTTTGAAAATTTGAACGAAAAGTCTTGGACCAAATCTGATTCCTGATTCGTTTTTAACATGTCAAAATTAGTGCCTTTGGAGTTTTTCAGATGTGTAGGACTCTCGGGAAGAAAAAATATTTTTCGACCTGAACTACCCTATATTATCATGAATTGCTATTTTTGAAAATTTGAACGAAAAGTCTTGGACCAAATCTGATTCCTGATTCGTTTTTAACATGTCAAAATTAGTGCCTTTGGAGTTTTTCAGATGTGTAGGACTCTCGGGAAGAAAAAATATTTTTCGACCTGAACTACCCTATATTAACATGAATTGCTATTTTTGAAAATTTGAACGAAAAGTCTTGGACCAAATCTGATTCCTGATTCGTTTTTAACATGTCAAAATTAGTGCCTTTGGAGTTTTTCAGATGTGTAGGACTCTCGGGAAGAAAAAATATTTTTCGACCTGAACTACCCTATATTAACATGAATTGCTATTTTTGAAAATTTGAACGAAAAGTCTTGGACCAAATCTGATTCCTGATTCGTTTTTAACATGTCAAAATTAGTGCCTTTGGAGTTTTTCAGATGTGTAGGACTCTCGGGAAGAAAAAATATTTTTCGACCTGAACTACCCTATATTAACATGAATTGCTATTTTTGAAAATTTGAACGAAAAGTCTTGGACCAAATCTGATTCCTGATTCGTTTTTAACATGTCAAAATTAGTGCCTTTGGAGTTTTTCAGATGTGTAGGACGCTCGGGAAAAAAATATTCTTCGACCTGAACTAACAATAACCTATATTAACATGAATTGCTATTTTTGAAAATTTTAACGAGAAGTGTTGGACCAAATCTGATTCCTGATTCGTTTTTAACATGTAAAAATTAGTGCCTTTGGAGTTTTTCAGATGTGTAGGACTCTCGGGAAGAAAAAATATTTTTCGACCTGAACTACCCTATATTAACATGAATTGCTATTTTTGAAAATTTGAACGAAAAGTCTTGGACCAAATCTGATTCCTGATTCGTTTTTAACATGTCAAAATTAGTGCCTTTGGAGTTTTTCAGATGTGTAGGACTCTCGGGAAGAAAAAATATTTTTCGACCTGAACTACCCTATATTAACATGAATTGCTATTTTTGAAAATTTGAACGAAAAGTCTTGGACCAAATCTGATTCCTGATTCGTTTTTAACATGTCAAAATTAGTGCCTTTGGAGTTTTTCAGATGTGTAGGACTCTCGGGAAGAAAAAATATTTTTCGACCTGAACTACCCTATATTAACATGAATTGCTATTTTTGAAAATTTGAACGAAAAGTCTTGGACCAAATCTGATTCCTGATTCGTTTTTAACATGTCAAAATTAGTGCCTTTGGAGTTTTTCAGATGTGTAGGACTCTCGGGAAGAAAAAATATTTTTCGACCTGAACTACCCTATATTAACATGAATTGCTATTTTTGAAAATTTGAACGAAAAGTCTTGGACCAAATCTGATTCCTGATTCGTTTTTAACATGTCAAAATTAGTGCCTTTGGAGTTTTTCAGATGTGTAGGACTCTCGGGAAGAAAAAATATTTTTCGACCTGAACTACCCTATATTATCATGAATTGCTATTTTTGAAAATTTTCACGAAAAGTCTTGGACCAAATCTGATTCCTGATTCGTTTTTAACATGTCAAAATTAGTGCCTTTGGAGTTTTTCAGATGTGTAGGACTCTCGGGAAGAAAAAATATTTTCCGACCTTAACTACCCTATATTATCTTGAATTGCTATTTTTGAAAATTTTAACGAAAAGTCTTGGACCAAATCTGATTACTGATTCGTTTTTAACATGTCAAAATTAGTGCCTTTGGAGTTTTTCAGATGTGTAGGACTCTCGGGAAGAAAAAATATTTTTCGACCTGAACTAAAATAACCCTTACATTATCATGAATTGCTATTTTTGAAAATTTCAACGAAAAGTCTTGGACCAAATCTGATTCCTGATTCGTTTTTAACATGTCAAAATTAGTGCCTTTGGAGGTTTTCAGATGTGTAGGAATCTCGGGAAGAAAAAATAATTTTCGACCTGAACTATCCCTATCAGTTATTGCTACAACCTTATTGCATCAGAAATATCGGGAAAATGGTTTCCAAATAGTTTATTGAGTAAAATCAACTCACTACCTATAGTTTTCTTTTCAGCGAAAGAAGTGGAGCCATTGAAACGACCTATTTTTTCTTCTCGTTTGGATTTCTGGTTCTGAGACTGCTGACCGTTTCAATGTACGGCGCTTGGCTGAACGAGGAAACGAAAAAACCTTTGGAATTCCTTTGTTGCGTTCACACTGACCACTACTGTATAGACGTAAAAAGAACACCTTACTTATTTTTAATGATGTATTGAAATGTTAATTGTACTCCCTTTCAGGTCAGTCGATGGATACAACAGATTTATGTGAATCCCATAGGAATTTCTGGGTCTGGATTTTTCCTAGTCACCAAAAATTTCTTGCTACGGGTAAGTACTGACTGATATACAGGGTGGCCAATATTGGTTCACCGCGCCAATATGATTTTTATTCTTAATGGCACACAAGAAAGTAGATTTCACATCTAGACCGTCATCTAAACGTCAAAAAATGACAAGGTTCGCGCATTGATAACAAATTGCGAAGTGACACTTTTTTTCAGTTTCCTACGTTACCATGATACCTTGCACATACCTTGCACAAAACAGTGCGCGAAGTACCTACTTCGCGCATTGTTATGTAAAATATATGAGATATATTTTTATTCCAACTTAATGGTCCTCAATCGAGCAAACATCCACGAAATCATTCATTCCTGAATGTTCAACCATAGCTTTATTTTATCTCTTGGAGCGCACGAAAGGAAATTCCTATTATGTTCGTGGAACATCGTGCGTACCTAGGGAGGATAGGGGGAGGCTTTTTAAGCCAGTTCAACACTATTTTTTATATCAAGCTAAGCATATTTTTTACTTAAGAACTATATTTTTTGACTTTTCTAGAAAAAATTTTGTTTGCAACTCGAGCGCGAAATACTTTGGTCATCTCGACTATTTTTTTCAACTCGGCTACGCCTCGTTAAAAAAATCAGATCTCGATCACCAAAGTAGCATTTCGCGCTATAGCTACAAAAATAACTATTTTTTATTCCATGTTTTATGTAGATAGAATAATAGTGGATTATATATCGAGAGAGTAAAGTGCATGATTTTTCCAGAGGTGGTTTTGTAGCCTACAATGTACCTACTGAGGGAAGAAAGAACTCACGCTTTCGAGGTTTATATACCATTTTTGCACGACTCGACGATTTAAATTGAAAGAATCTTATGATAAAATCAATTATTGTCAATATGATAATGAGAATCTGAACACAATAATCACAAAATGAAGTTTGATTATCATGACTACCGATGAAGAAGAGTAGCCATATTGCTTTTTGTGAACATCGAAAAAGTGTGGTAGCATATTTTCTCAATTGCTTTCCAAAGTTTTTTCAATAAATATTGCAGGAATTTGTGGAAAAACTATTGAAGAAGCTGCTGCAAACATAGTGGTAGATTTATTGCCAGAAATATCCCGGAAAATTTTTTAGCCTTGAGAGTGCCTACTCTGTATACCCTGTATTCCCGCTTTTGTCGGTGTAAAATCGCTTATAGGTCGTGCAAAAACAGTTTTTTTATATGTTCTGAATAATGTACATTATTTATTGTGACTTGCCCCTCCCTGAGATTATTTCTGCGGACGCCCCTGCCTCCTCTATTATGTTTTTTCTGCAACCGACACAAAAGTCGTCCATTTTGATACCAAAATTAGCTCTTAAATTGACGTTTCTATTACTGACACAAAAATAGGTATGTTGCTAGGCAACATATTTAGTTCCTAGGAGCTAAAGTTGCATTTTAGTTCCTAGGAGCTAAAGTTGAACTTTAGGTCCTAGGAACTAAAAAGGGTGTAAGTACTGGACGTCATCAAGAATAAACAACATTGTGACGGTTGGTTATTTGGGTTGAGACGCATACCTGATTTGTTTCCGATTTCAGCAGATTTGGCATTTCATACCCATGCTGGAGATATAAGACACCTTATTATAGTTTAGTATTGGAATTATAAACATCTCAGCTAAGTATTTTTGTTTGATCAGGGAAGCCTTCAAGATTCAAATACTTGCTTGATCTGTATTTCATTCGTTATTCTCGGGATGGATAACTTGTTTTTGAATAATCACGGCAAGCAATAGTTTTTTGTCTCAATCAACGATATTGTTTAGCTTCATTTGATTATCAAGTCAAACACAGTGTAGTATGGAGAGGAATAAATAATCACTATCATCATTGTTGATATGCTCACTAACCTAACATTTTCCACGTCTTGTTCCTATAGCTGGCACTGGCTCGGTATTTGCCATTAGAGCACCTGGTCCATACACAAATATGTCACTCTGTGGTTGTATTTATATTGAAACTACAATTCGAACATCCTTGAAAACCTAACCTGCTGTTAATGCAGGTAGAATATTCTTACCACATGGATTATTTGTCAATATTTGTTGCATTGCCTACATATGCCACGGCATTGGTGGTTACTTCACATGTTTATTTGAGTCAATTGTTTCGGTTGCAGAAAAAATAGCATGTTTCATTCGGATCAAAATTCAAAAGTGACTTTGTTCGACTCGCAAATTTTGCTCTCGCTCGGCTTCGCTAAACGCTCCGCCTCGCAAATATGCAAAATTCGCTTGTCAAACTAAGTGTCACTTTTGATCCTAATAAAACAATCTACTATTATTCAACATCTTTTTGATAACTTGATTATAATTGGTGACTTGACAACCTTTGCTTATTCATGAGTGGAAATGGAAGATTATCTGCCAATAACGAAACAGCATAAAAACTGAACGTCACCGCATTCATTCGACGTATCACCAAATGGCGGCCATAAATAACATTACGTTTGAAATGAGCTCTGATGTAATTCAACGATTTTGAACAACGCATAGACTTATCATTTACATGAAAAAAGCATGAGAACTGTAATATACTGGGATTGGGTAACACAATTAAACACCGATGTACTCTGTCCGATCGTCCAGACACTAATGAATCTCCTTATCATTATTTCAACCTATCCGCATTGCGATGGTGATGATTCACTCATGTCTTTCTGATCCGTTTATTCATAATTACTCGATACTACATCTCTCCCTTGTTTTCAGCACTTTCAATGTATGTGAAGGAATACTTATTCCGATTAGTACATATCAATGATACTACTTAAATAAAAGTACAATCCTAATGATAATAACATGAAACACTAACGATATCCATCCTTATAACAATAATAATAATGATAATAATAATATAACTACTAATTCTAATAATAATCCTGATAGTGACAATGATAGGTTATAATAATAGTAACAGTTATATACAAATATAAGATTTGAATGAAAGCTACTAGCCAAGGTCAGTTGGTCTGCTCATACAGTATCGTATTCTTTCGGTAGTACTGTCCATTCTCCTTTGACTTCCTTCAGGTGGACTATGTTCCTTCTCAGATTCTGTCCTGTTTCATCGTTTCTGACTTCCACATCTGTTCCATTTTTGTTAATGATTGTATGGAGGCTGGTGTGAAATTTGGATAGGTTTTATTTTCTCTCTGCATCTCTTTCACATAAACCTTATCCTCTTTTTGGAGAGAGTCGTCCTGAGCTTTCCTCTTATTGTCGCTATATTCTTTACCTTCTTCCTTCTCAATTTTATCTCTGTCTATTACTTCGTTGCTCTCTTCATTATCTTCGAGGTGTATGAGGCTTGGGATTTTATCTCTGAACTGTCGGCCGTAAAAAGTTCTCCCGGAGTTTTACCGGTCACCGTGTGTGGGGTGCTGTTGTACATTACTAGATAATCTAGGAGCTCCTTTTTCCAGTCCTGTTTCAGCGAGTGGCTTATTTTGATTCGTTTCAAAATGTTTCGGTTCTGTCTTTCGACCTCTCCATTTTGTTGAGGCCAATATGGTATGCTACGGAAAACGATTATTTCACGTTGATGGCAGAATTGATGTAGTTCTTGGCTTGCGAACTGCTTACCGTTATCGGCTGTTATCGATGACGGATAGACAATTCGAGAGAAGATCTCCTGGAGTAAATCCACTGTTTTCCTAGTAGTTGTCCTTCGTGATTTTGATCTTTTCATAGCGGCTATAATAATCAATCACTACTAATATAAAATATTTACCAGGAAGAGGGCCCAGATAATCGATAGCAATATCAACCCATGGCTTGGATGGTAATTCCCGTCGCTTCATAGGGTTAGGTCGTAATGGTGTCGATACTTAGATACATCCTCTTCAAGACTTGACTAGTTTTTCTGCGTCGCTATCGATCTTAGGCCACCAAACCTTTGTTCGCAATCTGCCTTTCATTGCTGAAACTTCTGGATGTCCTTCATGTGCTGCCAATAAAACATCTTTCCTCAGATTTGTTGGTATCACGAATTTGTTTCCTCTCAGAAGAATTCCGTCTTGATAACATAATTCTGATTGGAATATTTTATAAACGTTAGTCGACTGGTCCCAGTGGTTTTCAAATAATCCCTTTCTCACTTTGGCGAATTCTTCATCTATTTCCGAATGATGTTTGATATCGTTCAAAGAAATTGCTACAGGTCGTGAATATTCTATCAATTAGTGAACGCTTTCTTTGTCGAAAGGTTCAGATGGAACTATGATGCAAAGCCTTGATAACGAATCAGCTATATTCGATATACCTGGTCTATAAACTATTCTGGAACTGTAGGACTGGAGTCTAAGGACCCATCTTTCGATGCGTACATAGGGTTTGGATCTTGATCCGAAAATGACTTCGAGAGGCTTATGATCAGTCACTAACTCGAACTCCGCCTTGCCATACAAATACGCTTTGAAATGTTCGACCGCCCAGCCAAGAGCCAACGCTTCCTTTTCTGTCTGGCAGTATCTTCTTTCGCATTTTGTCAGACTTTTATTTCTATATCCGATGATTCGTGGTCCCCTATCGTCAAACTGAATACACTGTCAGTTGGATTATAGTATCCCAGTGATTTGATTTTTGTTGATATTTGTTTGATTAGTTCAAATGCCTTTCGTTGTTCGTCTTTTCAATGAGTTTCAATGCTTGCATGTTTTCCTAATTTCAGTCTCAGTATGTGTCGAAATGGTTCTGTTAATGTCGCTAGGTTTGGTATCCACTTGCCCACATAGTTGATGGGGCCTAAGAAACTTTGAATCTCGTCTACGGTTTTTGGTGATCTGAACGTTTTTATGACCCCCACATAGCTATAAAGAGGTGTGATTCCATTGATCGATAAAGTGTGACCCAAGAATTGGAAACTTTTCATTCCATACAGGCATTTCGCCTCATTCAATAAAATATCATTTTTGCGTAATGTTTTCAATGTGAAACGTAGTCTAGAGTTGTGTTCTGTTTCATCTTTCCCAAATATAAGAATGTCGTCTATGGAATTAACAG